AATACTATCACTGTATTTATTTTTTACTGTTAAATTTTTGAGGGGAACAGGGAATGAGTTTCTCGCCCATCTTCGTGAGGTTATAGTGAGTGTCAGACTCTAAGGGTGCAGATCCTTTGAGGCGGAGCGGAGACACATGGCTTAAAATCCACATTTGTAATGTGGATCTATCTCGAATGTGGATTTTTTTTTTATGTTTTTTTTTGCAAATAGGCCACAAAACGGCACTTTTACTCGTTAATTTATATGTGAAAAACTAGATGAAGCCGGCGTTACTACTAGTTTCGAGCCATGTGACTGGTGAATTGCGGCACAGCTCTTCTCCGCTCCGCCTCAATGGAACTGCACCCTTACTGACTAAATATCACCCTGATCCTGCTGCAGGGCGAAGCCACCGTAAATTATTGCGTTTGCAACCACAATCCATATTATCACAGTTCCTCCTTATAAAAGCGTACAAATAAGTCGAGTATTTTTCCTTGTTGTATCCGTATCTATCAACTATGTAACTTTATCTAATACAATGTAACACAAATCATAACCATTTGTCATTTGTCATATGAAATAAATAATGTACTACTGTTGTAAATAAATCCTATTCCATATATTATTATCTATTTGTTTCCAAGATAAGAATAGAATAGTAGAATTTGTGACCTTTTTTAAACAATTTCTAGATTATTTTGTACCTTAACAACATATTTTTCTATTTAAATTACGTGTAAATAATATTTCTTATATGTCATTTTTTATTTACAACGCTGGGTTTTTTATAGCACGGGAGCCGGGTGTCCAACGTAACCATTTGTTTAGTTAACGAACCGCCATGGCATCGAAAGAGTTTTATTACCTACTTATACCAAAAATATAATTTTATAAAAATAAAATATAAAAAGAGAACACCTTCACTATTTGCTTTCTACTATACTTTTTACTCGGGGGTTGCGGGGTAAGCGCAATGAGGTACCGCGACCTCGGCACAGAGCAGGAGAAGGAACAGGGGGGTTTTTAGTCAGTAAGAGTCTGACACTCCCTCCTGCCCGGCCCTGGGCGGGAGAAGTCATTTGATGATTTTCCCCTCACAAAAAAAAAACTATACTTTTTACTAGCGTTGACGTTGACGTCGCGTTCAATGGATGGTAAATCCACTAAACGTTAACTTCACGTTTGTTGGTAACAGATACATCATGCCGTTCTGCACTATCAAGAAAGAAGAAAGAAAGAAAATATTTATTTATTTACTATCAAATGTAGTCTTTCTTTTCTTTAAATAAAAACCTTGCCCCACACTAGGCTTTTCTCCTGTGTCATGGGTGTGGTTACAAACATACAATTTCACATGCACATGACACCCAGACCCGGAACAACAAGTTGTAAGTCACACAAAAAGTTGTTCCGTGTGGGAATCGAACCGTTGAACGTTGCACGACAGCAAGTTGCCCAGCCACCGCACCAACCGTGCAGTCTTTGGCATACCTACACTTGTTGCCATCAAAGGCGACATTAACGTTGCGCAGAATCGATGTTAACGTCGCGTTCAGCCAATGTTAATGCTTTCCACGCGACGCTAACGTCACGTCAGCGCGGCGTTGACGCTGTGCAAACGCTACGTTGACGTCAACGCTAGTAAAACGCCAAGTGGAATAGCGGCCTTAGTTAAAATAAGCAACATTATAAACATTCCCGTGATGAAAATTTTAACCGAATTAAAAAAGGACCATAATTATGTTCTTAATTCGGCCATATTTTTATAGTACTTTATTGCATATTTCCATAATTTTAAGTCAATTGATATTTTTATTTATTTTACGTTTGTTTATATTATAAAAAAATTTAAACACTTAGTACCTACACAATTTAGACTACTTAAGTACTTATTGTTAATTATTGTAATCTACTGTATTATCTGCGTAGACTTGTCATAGGCGATATGATTACTGTATATTGAAAACTATTATTGGATTAGTCTGTTAGCCTTCTTAAAAAACAATAAATAAATAAATACATTTTAAATTATTAAGTGAACTTAACGACCTTCTACATGCATCAGTCTCTTTATTACCTAAAAATCGACTAGTAGATAATGCTAAATGCATTAAGGATTTTTCTGTTTTTAAGTTAAATAAATATTTAAATAAACTTTTACTATATTCGTATTCCTTTTATAAAAAACAAAATACACAACCTACCATCATCTGTGGTCAGCCACTCCATTATTGAAATGCACTCTCAACAAAAATATCAGAATAAAAAATATTCACAACAGGTAAACTGGTTGTGTGCACGTCGAAGGACTGAGAACACTAACAGTAATTATGACCTACCTATGTATATGTCATACCTAACGATATAATTATGTATATATGTATTTCCTTCTCGCTTCAACTAAGCGAGTTAGTAAATACAGATTCTTGTTTTTGTTTAGCTCACACACATGCAAGTTCATTAAAGATGTGAACTCGTATCTACTCTGCTGTGTGTGTGTGTGTGTATAATATTCATGCCCTATAGAAGTGTGTAAGCACAGTTTATCTTCATTTTGCATTGAATTTTATTTTTGTTTGTTATGGTCAGTTTACAATATGAAAACGAAAAATGCGTTTATAACTGTTGAGTGTTATTTTAAATTATAATCTACCTTAATGATATATTTTATTTAGATTTATTCAGTAGATACTTCTCATGGGAAATGTTAAAAAGATTTTTGTCCTAATTTCCGAACCTATCGGCGCCACATGAAAAAAAACTAAATCCAATTTTTTTCTTCCCTTACGGATGTTAGGGTATGCAAACATATTAAACATTTCCATATCTTCGGAAATGCAAATCCTGAGATCAGTTAAAAGTCACCGTGTGAGTGAGGTTACCAGAGGCCCAATCCTTTCCCTCCCCCAATCCCTCCTCAATGCCTAAATCTCCAAATCCCTCATCCCTAAAAAGTCGGCAACGCACTCGTAACTTTTCCGTTGATCCGGGTCCATCAGGTAATCCGTCTACTCGTTTACCAACCTATCACATAAAAAAAGGATTTTTTATATTTACAAAGGATAGCATACGAGCAGACGGGTTACCGGGGCACCCGCGACAACAGAGGAATTACGGATGCATTGCCGACATTGAGAAGAGGTCTTTATTCAGCCATAGGCATTTAGAGGCTGATGATGTGATGAGAATCATCAGGTGATCCGTCAGCTCGTTGGGGTACTAGCTTTTGTTACTGAAAAATGTTTAATGCATAGAAACGTTTTGTACTTTTTAATAGAAACTATCGTATAACGACATAATTACGTGAAATAACTGAGAAAAGTTTTGTACTGTTATATTTATTTATAATAATACTTTTTGCACAATGGCGGAATTAATACCGAAGGCATTTACTTTCAGCCCACCTTAGGATGATATAGAGACAGGGCATGTTATGTATATAATATGCATATAAATTATATTATTTTTATATAAAAGTCTGGGGTAGCTAATAAATGTAGGTGGCGAGATGTCGATCGACGTGGAAGACTCAGGGGGAGACTTTTGTTCAGTGGTGGACGTCTTCCGGCTGATGATAATGATTGTTATTATTTATTTGGCTCTGCAGTTGGAGCCACTAGGGGATACATAATACATATGTATATGTAACGTGTTCCCATAACATACTAAGTAGGTATATGATCTGAACGCTGCCTGCAATGAGTATTATAGTAAACCATTTTATGTGGGAGATCGTTTTGCAGCAGTAAAAAAAGCCTTTGAAAAATGATATACTAATTGGAACTTTTCCAAGATCCTTTTAAATTCTGAATATACCAACGCGTATGTACAGTTCAAAATGTAAGTAGGGTTAAGTCAATCTGCCTTCTGTATTAAAATGGAAACTACCTATTTCGTGTTTTTTTTTCTCCACAAATAATATCTTATAATTTATTACGTTGCGGGAGTCATTCATGTTCTTCAGTTCAGTGTTTCGATGTTTTCATGGTTTTTCTACTGTATGTAGATCCTGAGTTACAGTGGTTTTGGGAGTTTCTGGTGGGCTTTTTTCACTAAAATACTATCTGGTATTATGGATTTTAGTACTTACACAAATAATGTTAGACAAACTGGTTTAGTTTCTACCCGTAATTTACAATAGCGTAAAGAGCCCCATCACTCTTAAGTGTTGTCGGTAATTAACTCATTAAAACTTCAATAACGACTAATGACCATGTATATTTAAGCCATAAGTACTAACATACAATGTAATAAATAATAAATGTAAAACAAAAATCTATAACATATGTTGTTATCTTAATAAATTCCCAAATTGTTTTTCAGTTTAGACATGTAGGGTATTTTTTTATATTCACTTAGGTAAATTAAATAACAACAAAAGTATTTGAAGGTACAATTTTGTACCAGTATATTAAAACGAAAACAGGATTAGCGGGTGAATGAACCTTTGCCGCGTCTCCAATAAACGGAACGGGTGGTCAGTAAGAGTCTGACACTCTTTCTCATCCTAACCCGGGCTGAAAAATAATATTGTTTTTTTATGGAATAAGTTGACAAACGAGCAGATGGTAAGCAATCGGCGCCGCCCATGGACACAAATGCAACATCAAAAGAGTTATAAGTGCGGGTTGCGAATATAAGAATTGAGAAGAGATAAAGGAGGGGGAGGGATTGGGCCTCCGGTAACCTCATTCACAACGCTGTGGTTGTTTCACGCTGGTATTCTGTGAGGCCGTGGTATCACTCCGGTCGAGCCGACCCATTCTTGCCGAAGCTCTGCACTCAAAACAAAATGAAAGAGACTACAAAACATTGTTATTGTGCTAGGACAGGGAAATAATAGGAAAACCTTAACTTAAGCTAACTAAAACAAAAAACAACTAGACACATTTTAGGGGGACACGTTTATTGTAAAAACGTTTGTGTACATTCTAATAAATAAACTAATAATTTGCAATAAATTCTCATTCATCTTAATTGTAATACAATGTTATTTATACATTTTTACGATCAACCTTTAAACATCAATCAAGTCTAATAGCAGCAGCTTCAGCAAATACTTCTCTTCCTAACCGTTCTCTGTAAGACTTTCCATCGTAATAAAAATCATCAAACGATACACGAATCCCCACTTCGAAATTTAAAACCTTTCCAATTTTCTGTGTTGCCTCCGATGTCCACAAAGCTTGACAGATCTTTGGAACTTTAGTTACTGGCTTTCTAGCCGCCATATTGGAATATTTCGGTCCTAAATCTTGCACCGACATTTTGGACACAGGACCATTCTTCAGTTTCCTTGCTAGATCTATTGAGGTACTGCAGAGAATTCTTCCAAGTCTTTTATGTCTATGTTCCCGAAGGGTTGCTAGGAACATTATTTCGAGGCTGCAGTCGACATTGTATCTGAAACAAGTACACAACAAAAAATTAAATTCGAAAGAGAAAAAGTAAACACAATTTTGTCATGTTGTCATAAGTAATCGTTGATATAATTTCTGCTGTATATAAGGATGGATTTTCTTTTTACACGTACCTCAAAATAGGGCTGGCGATAAAAAAAAATTAAAGTCTTATAGTAATAATTATCTCTCAAATAATTACTATCTACAAAAAATACTTAGACTAGGTAAGCTGAAAATTAAATCAACCCATTAAAGTAAATTTTTTTCAAGTCCTCTTAAGATTAGTTTGTCGAAAAAAATAATGTTCAAGTCTAAATCTATATATAGTATAATATTGTAAAGAGGTATTTTTAAGTTTGTATGTTTGTAAAGTTGTATGGAACCATTGGTCGAATTCCCAAAAATATGTCACTTATATAGCTACAATGTTCCCAAGTGCTGTAAAACATCACGCTACTATCAAATGGCCGAGCAGCAAGTGAAACCGCGCGGGAGTAGCTATTTATTCTTATAAAACAGCGTTTTATGTACAGTACCTAATTGTCTCTTCAAAACCGTTCAAATCTTAAAATAGGATAATATTTTTTACCCTATTAAAGTGAATCCAATCCCCATTAAAGTGCTTAAATTTCTTTCCACGAACATACAGACAGTGAAATACCGATTCACTTGTAAGATGTAAAGAATAAAAGCCAATTTCTCAGAATAGTTCCGAGATGGTTTCGGTGAAACGGTGCCGGGATGTTCTTTGTTGCCGTTGTCCTATAGTTGTATGGCCATTGTGTGAACAATATTAATGTTTCTACTATTTGAACTATTATATACAAAACATAGTCTGCTACGTAGCTTTGTAATTTACACATGTGAAAGTAAAACTTCACTGAGATGGTTATAGGGATCCTCTTGGCTAAGATAGTAGTATACTAATGTATTCTACTGTTCTTTATCATCACTACATAGTATAAAATAAAGACACTTACTCTGCCCCTATGTCCCTATACATATATATGCTTAAATCTTTTATTTAAGTGATGGAGTTATTGAAAATGAAGTTTTATATCTATACTAATATTATAAAGAGGTAAAGTAAGTTTGTAAGTTTGTAAATTTGTATGTAGGGGGTAATCTTTGGAACCGCTGGTCGGATTGCCAAAATTCTTTCACTGATAGATAGCTACAATGTTCCCGAGTGCTATATGCTATAAAACATTACGCTACAATCAAATGGAGCCGAGCAGCGAGTGAAACCGCGCGGGAGTGGTTAGTGTAGATATAAAAACATACATTTAGTATCAGCATTGCACCTGTGTGAAGCTGGGACGAGTCGCTAGTACACAAATCAACGTTAAGCTGCCATTGTAACTGCTATTGAAAAAATATATAAGATTTCTACTCTTATCATGCCCAAAATAGATCTACAAGGCCGACGAAGCAGTTAATGAATTTGATAACAAGTCAAACACAGCTTTAATATGAAATCAAACCCTTCTATCGATATTAACTAGATAAGTTCTAAATAAAACGCGATCTATAGCCTTGTGGAATCGATTTTGCCTATATTCAGTCTATTAATAGCCTGAGTATATCCATTAGTATGTCTGCCAATCTTCCTAGTGATCATTAAAAGGCTTGCGTGATCAAGTACACTTTGTATTGTGTAATATGTATACTGTTGTACCTACATATACATATATACTTTTGTACATATATTATTATTATTATCTTAAGGGCTATTTTACTTGACGTTGACAGTGACAGGCAGTTGAGACATGTTTGTGTTTGTGTTGATTCTACTCACATTTAATTTTTCTAGCCTTTTTCCAATTAGTTTTATATTTTACTAGCGACCCGCCCAGGCTTCGCACGGAATGCTGATATATATTTTTTCACTATTAAAAGTTATATACATATAAAACTTTATCTTCCCGTTACACCTCCCGGATATCTATATTTACAAATAAACTTTCTGATTCTGAATTTGATTCATTCACTCTTTCTATTAAAAAAAACCGCATGAAAATCCGTTGCGTAATTTTAAAGATTAAAGCATACATAGGGATGTAGGGACAGAGAAAACGACTTTGTTTTATACTATGTAGTGATTTTTCAATTGGTTGTCCACCAAGTCTAATGGCCTGTTCCTTAACATTATTGATAAATGTTAATATAGAAATTGTATTACCTATGCGCCATGTAAGTTTATCGGGACCTCACGTACAATTAAGGTGGCAAAACATTCACTAAATATCATAATTAAATATTGAGATACTTCTTCAATAATCTCATGAAACGTGAATAGTGATACCATATTCTTGGTTAGAGCTATGACCTTGAGCCTTTAAGTACTCTGTTGGTGCCATTGATGTTTGTATGACGACCGATCGATAACACGAATTAGTATAATTTTCACACACAGTTAGGTATATTAATTTGTACTTATTTGGTAAGTATATACCTATATATCAAAGGAAAATTTTATTCAGTTACTCATGGAAAATTGTCTATGTAACATTTATTAACCGGTAATTCTTTAATTGATAGAGAAGCCGTCATTGGACAGCTGGTGGACCCGATCTTCTTGACAGACAAGGACTTAAGGCATGATGATAAAAAAAAAGAAAAAAAAATGCAAATCAGACCCCAAACAAGTTGCTGAAACAACAAACAGGGTTCCTATTGGAGCTCATAAAACCACATTATTCATAAGACGTATTAACTTGGCAGTTCCATCATGTAAATTAATGAGACTTGCACCGTTATGGCGGCTTGGATACGGAGATGAATATGCCAAGTATATTATGCATCACAGTTTTACGTTTAGTCGTAAAAGTACAAATTTCGAGGATGAGGAAAGACATTATGTTTTTGGGAGATCGTCAAAGTTAAATTCGTTGCGGTTTTAGGAACTTCGTCGCAAAGCTTTATCCCTCCATCTTTCATGCAGCCGTAGTTCTGTATACTGTCCAAACTAAACTATACACCTATACATATACGGTATGATTTCGGAAATTTCATTGCATTTAATTTAGAGAAGGGAAATTTTGGAGAATTCTTTATATTTCATATCAAGGTCATTTTTAGGCAGTAAAAAATATATGACCGTTTTGTTTATGCAGTGAGCCCATAGATGACGGTCCTGCCAAGCATTAGGGATGCTAAATCCGTAGCTATCGTTAATAGACAATTAAGAGAACATTACCTTTCCTCCTAAAGTTATTGGCTTGTTTATTTAAATGTGTCGTTTATAAATTTGTGTACTATATTTTTTTCACGTGGACGACACGCCCGGACCCACTACAACAACCTGTGGAGCACACCAAGATTAAAATTGTCCCTACTGGGAATCAAACCCGCGACACATTGTACGGCAGCCCGTTCCCCAGCCAACGTGCATCTGTAATACTTCTTTTGTGATTTTAATTTACATATAACCATTGTGTCAGATATCCTAATAATAATTATATACATAAATGTGTTAACCTGTGTGCAATAGTTATGTACACTATTATTAAATAAATAAACAACGTACTTGTCGAAAAAATTACATTTGCCGTCGACCTCTGCCATCCACTCAATGAGAGCACGGGACGATGGTTGGGTACAGCGTTCTTCTGCGAATATTTCAAAGAAAGGCTTTTCCGAAGAATCCGATGTAGCCACCTGAAACGGAAAACGGTTTTAACTTATATTTTATTGACTATGAGGATGTTAGTTGATTATATAATAATTTGACACATTTTTTAATAATTTGACACATTTTATTAGGATATGTATTTTTAAATTTTTTATTTATTAATTTTTTTTGTGGTTAAATAGTATACTCTTTATACATATACTATTAATATACTCGTTGAACGCCACGGGTGACAACATTTGGGCCACGCTAGCGGAGGATTCACCCTCAACAGCAATCTGTTGGCAGTCAATGGCTTAATTAAACGTGTAGATTGTAAGTTGTATTAAAATCAATTAGTTTCATCACAGTCAACATTAAAATACTAAGTAGTGTATTTGCCTAAACTCGCCTAATTACAGTTTAAAACATAATAATATTTTTATCATTTTTCGTCTTTATAAGACTAATTCCCACAGGTGTTGACAGGGTATTTGTAAAGCTTCTGGCTAGCTTCCACCAGCGATTTTGCCCGCGTGGTTTGTTGATAGAAAGTAGCCCATTCCGGAGATACCCTATGCCTAGATCCGTCGGCGGTTTTGGCGTGATTGACTAACAAACATCCAAACATTGTAACTTTCGCATTTATAATATTAATAATATTGTATTTTAAATACATATAAGTATTATAATATTTTTATATCACACGAGCGGTGCAAACTATTCTTTCATAGAACATCAAAATAAAAATGCACTTGTTCAGCAGTAGTGTCTTGAAGTAACAAAATCAGATATACATACACACAAAGTAAGTCTTGAACAATTTTTCTTTTCCTTCGTTAGAAGTACTGACCCATTAACGTATCGATATTCTGAGCGTCACAGAAACAAATTAAAATAACAAAGTAGCGGTTTAGTATTCATTACTGGCATAATTAGTTAGCATTTCTCATTATTATTCTAATGTTCTTTTTTAAAACAAAGCGATTAGCTGATGATGTTGTTTTTTATGTTTAAGTTTTAGCTGACAAGTTATAGTTGTGGTTCTTCAAATGTAAATGTCATTTACTTGTTCTAAAAATATTTCTGTTAAAACATAGACAAGAATCTGTGTTTTGTATGGTATCTTTTATTATGTACAAGTATGTGGGAAAGCAATTATGTAAGAGTCATTCTGCGGCACGAATGGGTCGGCTCGACCGGAGTAATACCAAGGACTCGAAGAAAACCGGAAACCTTCCCCACCCCCAATCCCTACCCAGTCCCTAAATCTCCAAAACCCATCTGCTCGTTTGTCGTTCTATAACATAAAAAGACAAAAACAATTACCTGTAATTTATTAAAAGCAACAGACACAACTTCTCCACTGTCAACAGCTACGGCAACCAAGGAAACGCCATCCAGTGCTGCGTCTGCGCACAGTTCTAATAACTCTTCTGCTGCCACGGGATTCTTGTTGACTTCTGTTCCTATGCTCACAGATTCGTCTTGGCAGAAGGAATCTGTTATAACCTGTAACAGTTAGATAGATATTTGTTTAGAAAAGATAGAAAATTACAACTAACAAAAGATACAAGAGCTCAGTCGCGTGCAATTGGGGAGTCATATGTCCAGCAGTGGACGACATTACGCTGATGGTGATGATGATGAAAAGATACAACTTATACAACTATTTACCAATAACATGTTTTTGCATTTAATTAGCTATGAAAATGAAAGCTTAAAAGAGGTAAAAAAGAGGTAAAAAAACAAAAAAAAAATGGGGACTTTAGTAAGCATCCAAAGAAAACTACATTGGTTTGTTCTGTATTCTGAGATTGATACATTATTATGCTTAGTTTGGATTGAAAATATACTTTAAAGAGTGGCAGAACCATTCTTCATGGATTAAAACGATGGCCTCTCAGTAAACCGTTTCAAAGTAAGGTTATTAGAGGCCCAACCCCTTTTAGTCCCCAAATCTTCAATCCTTAAAACCTTAACAACCCTCAAACGTCCGGCAACACATTGCAACTCCTTTGGAGTTGAGGTGGCATGTCCACAGGCGGTGCCGATTTAGAATGAAAATTATGTTCTATTATTCAAATTGTACTTAAAGCGACGTCCAGGTAAGACAGAACTTAGTAGTTTTGTTGTATTTAGAGAAAATACTCACTCTTAATGCCCCGGGGAAAGTAGCAGCTGACAGAGATTCTATTCTGTACTTGCCTGTAACAAAAAAGCGGGAACAAATAAATTTAAAGTAAATTCTTTTTTCATGTTTTGTGGGTTTGGTTAAGATTGCACATCAATTTTATTACCTGGTTGAATAGTAACCAGAATAAAAGTGTTTTTTTTTTTTTAATATGAGCGCCAACACTATTTTATTCTGTAGTCAACTTAACTAATTTCATACTCCTAATACCGTCAGTTTAGTAATTGTGAAGTGTATATCCTCCTTTATAATATTTTAGTATATGGTGTCAACTGAATGCTTGATTACCGTTTAAGCTTTTTACTTTTTTTGACTTATAAAATGCATGATACTATTGGCAGCCAATTAAAGTTGTTCTTGTTTAATATACCTTACAACCCTTAACATCTCGATTGAAAACAGTGATGTTATGTAATTATATTTTCTTACTAGCTACTTTCGCGCGATTTCACCTGCTGCCCGACCAGCGGTTCCAAAGATTACCCGCTACATACAAACTTAAAAAAATACAAAGTTACAAATAAAAGATAAAGATAAAGGTGAAGGTGAAGGTGAAGGTGAAGGTGAAGGTGAAGGTGAAGGTGAAGGTGAAGGTGAAGGTGAAGGTGAAGGTGAAGGTGAAGGTGAAGGCGAAGGCGAAGGCGAAGGTGAAGGTGAAGGTAAAGGTGAAGGTGAAGGTGAAGGTGAAGGTGAAGGTGAAGGTGAAGGTGAAGGTGAAGGTGAAGGTGAAGGTGAAGGTGAAGGTGAAGGTGAAGGCGAAGGCGAAGGCGAAGGCGAAGGCGAAGGTGAAGGTGAAGGCGAAGGTGAAGGTGAAGGTGTAGGTGAAGGTGAAGGTGAAGGTGAATGTGAAGGTGAAGGTGAAGGTGAAGGTGAAGGTAAACGTGAAGGCGAAGGCGAAGGTGAAGGTGAAGGTGAAGGCGAAGGCGAAGGCGAAGGCGAAGGCGAAGGTGAAGGTGAAGGTGAAGAGGTGTAGGCAAAGGCGAAGGTGAAGGTGAAGGTGAAGGCGAAGGCGAAGGCGATGGCGAAGGCGAAGGCGAAGGCGAAGGCGAAGGCGAAGGCGAAGGCGAAGGCGAAGGCGAAGGCGAAGGCGAAGGCGAAGGTGAAGGCGAAGGCGAAGGCGAAGGTGAAGGAGAAGGAGAAGGAGAAGGTGAAGGTGTAGGCGAAGGCGAAGGTGAAGGTGAAGGCGAAGGCGAAGGCGAAGGCGAAGACGAAGGCGAAGGCGAAGGTGAAGGTGAAGGCGAAGGCGAAGGCGAAGGCGAAGGCGAAGGCGAAGGCGAAGGCGAAGGTGAAGGTGAAGGTGAAGGTG